TGTGCTTTTTATTCTGTTTGTGAAAGAGGAGGTCATGTCTTTAGGCGGATAAATGTGCCGACGCTCGGGTCTCTGGGTGTGCACTCGATGATGTGGAAAATAAAAACCTCACAGCTCATCCGTTATCAACACCTTGTCAGAGTGAACATCTCGCTCTTTAATCTCACTGTGACTAAAACAGCCGGACTCATTTCAGCCGTCTTATCTGAAGCCCTGATCGATCCGAGGCCGGCCGGCTCAGACCGCCGCTCGTCTGCCACGAGCCAGCTGAGCCTCAATGTGACGCTCACATCCGTACACAACATCTCCCACATCGTTCAGCCGCCGTCCTCCACCATGTCATCCTCTCCTTCACACCACCACAGCTGGTCTGGGTGCGGCTAAATTTAGAGCTTTTGTGCATCTCTTCCTCGGCACATGTTCAACAATCTCTGGATTCCTCTTTCTCTCCTGAGCGCTCGTTCCCATCAAGTTAATAGAGATTTGATGTGGGGCGTGATTTAGCGTGCGTATGCAGCGGCCACATTTAATCATCGAGCGGGATAAGCGGCGCCTCGGGCGATGACTGATTCCTCAGTTTAGAGGAATGAAAGAGAAAAATGAGTGTTTGATTTCTGCAGAGGAAGACATCACTGCCATTTAAGCGTTTCTCAGCGCCCACTTTCTCGGCTTCAGTCTTTCCATCACATGTTGAACCTGCCGAGGAGATTTGCTCCCGTTCAGACACACAAACATCGGTGAGGTCCGACTTTTGGAATAGCTGATTAAACGAGGTTTCCAGGTCACCTCAAAGGGGTTTAAAACGAGGTCACAAACTAGGTTTTTATTTGTTTATGCATGTGGAGGTCTCACTGCTGATAAGTTTTAGATCTGCTGCAGTAGACGGCGTCAGCCAGCAGCTGTGAAACAGGCTGTAATGTCTGCAACATAATCGCTTCAAGACAAATTGATGTGTTTAAGTTTTCTTCATAAAGTCATTGTTGTCCATGACGGACTCTGATTGTTATTCTAAGTATGGGTCAACAATACAAAAGGATCCCTGCAGAGAGAGACCTTTGAAGTGCTGGCTTCTCTGACAACAATGCAGCAGCCAGTATGTCCTCCTTCTAACTTTAGATTCTGCTCCTGAATGCTCTGGATTTGTTTGGACCAGAGAAGGTAGGCAGTTTTAAGGCCCCCCGACACGGCCCGTTTTGGACGCCCCTCTGTTTGCCAGATATGAGAGCAGTTATCAGGTCAACAGGTGTTGCAGCGATGGAAGCGGTCAAGAGAAGTGGTTCAGATAGAAGTGATTGTACCCGACCTAAAAAGCCTCTGCATGTTTCTAATAAGCTCCACGAGCAGAAACGTGCTCAAACTAGGATCAATATTGGAGATGCTTTTGAAAAATGGAGAGAGGTTAGAACACAGAAAGGTTTACAGACCCATGCAGAGCTGGATAAACACTGAAGCTTCAGAGTTCCACCACATGGTGACCTGAGTGAGCATCCACTCTAGAGAGGAGGGGGGAGACAGCTCTCTATGATGTTTAGAATTTGGACTGCAGTACCCAATTTAAACACTAGGTGACAGAGCTAGAGTCTGATATTACAGAGAGGATCCTTACAGAGACTAATAAAGAAATGAAGCAAACTGCTTTCCGGAGCTGTGTTGTATACAGAGACAGGTTTTAATTCCAGGTGTGAACGGAGCTTCTACACTAATGTTAATCAGATCCAGGATGCATGTTGACATCAGGTGTACACAGCCTGGTACAGTGTTTCTCTCATGAATAGTTCTGTATCATTGTTTACTGTTTATCTCAACAAAATAAATCAGAATAATTCACCAATTAACCCCAAATTGTTTGCTATAGTGTTCAAAAACTACAACTCCCATGAGGCTAAGCTAAACCACGAGAATATTATTAATTTAAGCAAACTAAAATTCTGCTTGTAATGTTTACGTGCGTGCTGCGTCAATTTTCATCATCGTTGTGCTTTTAGTTTCAGTCAGCTCTTATTAGCTCTTTTCATGACACTGCTCCCCCCCCCTCCCACACACACACACACACACACACACACACACACACACACACACACACACACACACACTCCTCCCCCCAGGCCTCCCCCCAGGCCCCCCCCCTCAACCTCTTCGCCCCAAGAGGTCTCTTTAATTGTCACTGAAGACAGAACTGTTAGTGTGTGTGTTGTGTGTGTTAGTGTGCATGTGTGTGTTTGTGTCAGTGAGAGAGTGAGTGAGCGTGAAGAGCTGCTGCCATGGCAACAACATCACCACTGATGATACAAGCTGTAGCAGCAGAAGTGTGTGTTTATGTGTTTATGTGTGTGTGTGTGTGTGTGTGTGTGTGTGTGTGTGTGTGTGTGTGTTTTCTCCAGCAGCCTGTTGTAGACTGAGAGCAGAACATCATGTTACCCTGCAGCACACTGATCTGTTACTGTGTTTAAATACACTAAATGTGACTGACAGAAACATTTCATATATTTAAACACACAGTACCTTGTTCCCTACTTACACAACAACGACGTCAGCTCAAAACGTGTTAACCCTTTTATCGACATCAGTATTAACTCATCCATTCATACACTGATGGTAGAGGCCGCTGAGTAAAGAGACCATCAGTATTAACTCATCCATTCATACACTGATGGTAGAAGCTGCTGAGTAAAGAGTCCATCAGCATTAACTCATCCATTCATACACATTCACACACTGATGGTAGAAGCTGCTGAGTAAAGAGTCCATCAGCATTAACTCATCCATTCATACACATTCACACACTGATGGTAGAAGCTGCTGAGTAAAGAGTCCATCAGCATTAACTCATCCATTCACACACATTCACACACTGATGGTAGAGGCTGCTGAGTAAAGAGTCCATCAGCATTAACTCATCCATTCATACACATTCACACACTGATGGTAGAGGCCACTGAGTAAAGAGTCCATCAGTATTAACTCATCCATTCATACACATTCACACACTGATGGTAGAGGCTGCAGAGTAAAGAGTCCATCAGTATTAACTCATCCATTCACACACTGATGGTAGAGACTGCTGAGTAAAGAGTCCATCAGTATTAACTCATCCATTCATACACATTCACACACTGATGGTAGAGGCTGCTGAGTAAAGAGTCCATCAGTATTAACTCATCCATTCATACACATTCACACACTGATGGTAGAGGCTGCTGAGTAAAGAGTCCATCAGTATTAACTCATCCATTCATACACATTCACACACTGATGGTAGAGACTGCTGAGTAAAGAGTCCATCAGTATTAACTCATCCATTCATACACATTCACACACTGATGGTAGAGGCCGCTGAGTAAAGAGTCCATCAGTATTATCTCATCCATTCACACACTGATGGTAGAGGCTGCTGAGTAAAGAGTCCATCAGTATTAACTCATCCATTCATACACATTCACACACTGATGGTAGAGGCTGCTGAGTAAAGAGTCCATCAGTATTAACTCATCCATTCATACACATTCACACACTGATGGTAGAGGCTGCTGAGTAAAGAGTCCATCAGTATTAACTCATCCATTCATACATATGCATACACTGCTAGAGCAACTAGGGGGTTAAGTGTCTTGCCCAAGGACACATCAACATGTTGGCTGCAGGAGCTGGGGATCGAACCCTCGACCTTCCAGTTGAGAGATGCGACTCTACAACTTGAGCCACAGCCGTCCATTAACCATTTAAATTTTCTGTCCATAAGAAGTAAAAATCTGAATATCTGAAATGATCTACTGCAGGACTAGAGAATATTCATTCCCAGATAATAACTTGTTCAGAAGACAAAGGCCCATGTGTCCATGCTCACCCAGATCTGCAGTTTGATCCTCTTGTCGTTGCGGTACACGTCTTCACCTTGAAGTCGATGCCCACGTGCTGACGAAGGAGTTGCTGAAGAGTCGTCGGCGTAGCGGAACAGGAAGGAGGTCTTCCCGACGCTGCTGTTCCCGATGATCAGCAGCTTGAACATGTAGTCAAAGTTCTGGTCGGAGCCATCCCGCTGGCCAAAACGCTGGTCTGCTTTCGCCATCTGGAGGTTTGATCGGAGAGGAAGACAATGTCAGAATCAGCGTCCAATGAAACCAGGGAGAAATGTTCACGTACACACATCTTACTAAGAGTCTACGTGAAATCCTCGCCACTTTAAACAGCTTCACAGTCTAGTGCAAGGCGCTCAAATTTTTCAAGGTGTCAACCTTTTATTCCCAGGTGAGTGGTATTTAAATCAGGAGAGACGAGTAAATGACTCAAAGATAAATGTTTATTTTACATCATGTGATAGTGAATGATCGTCAGAGAATCTTTGGCCCTGAACTCTACACGGTGATCCAAGATGTCCGCCCTGAGCGGCAGCAAGATCTACCCCGCATTAAGTCCAGACGCTGGTGGTGGAGGCGTTAGCTGATGATGTAATCTGGGCACACTGGGTTGACCGGGCGGTGGCTGATGCTGTGATCTGAGGCTTGGTGGTGTCGGCGAGGTGGAGGGGCGCTCGTAACGATGGCATGAATAAAACTAGTGGAAGAGAAAGCCAGCAGCAATGTGATAGGCTAACGATGAGGAGTGGAGCAGGGCTATTGGATGGATGTGACCAGCTGATGATTACAAGACAATGAGTGAGCATGCGTGGAGGAGCGATTTGAAGCGGTTATGAGAATAAACAATAAAACGAGCGTGCAGAATAAAGTCTTACAGACTGAACTTTCACTAGAGATACATATGGGGTGCGTTCCATTTCATCTCGGAAGTTGGAAATTTTGAATCGCAAGTCTGAGAGTCGGAGTCGCAGGAACTTTCGTAGCTCTGAGTTAAAATCCAACATGTGGCTACGTGCATCAACAATGAAGATTAAAGGCAGGATTGGTCATTTTTGAAAACTAGCATGATCTTGAAAGTAGCATTCCCTCAGTGCTCCGTCTGCATCCACCCCACCCCTCTGTGCTCCCTCAGAAGCCACGCCCCTCACTTACATGCCACGAGCGCTATTGGTCCAGAAGCGCATTCTTTGAGTGTGGGCACGTGCATGTATGGGGTAGAGAGCGAGCAGGGAGACAGGGAGGCGTCTGATTGGTTCATCAGATTGGTACCTCGTGGCAGACATTGGTTGAATTTTTACAGACTTACAAACTGATACAGATGATGGATTCAGTTATTCATTTCTGTCACGACCTAAAGACAATTTACATCAAAATCAAGATTTTTAAGAGGAGGAAATTACCAACCCTGACTTTAAGCTGTACATTCTGGAGTTTATTGGCAACTTGTTTTAGTGATATTAAATCGATCACACCGGGACACTTTGCTAAAGACCCTGACACACTAAGCAGACGGCAAAGAACTAGCAGCGACGAAGGCCACCTGGGGCACCGCCTCATGTCTTGACCAAAAAGTTGCACTAGAACACACCGTAAAAGACTACAGCCGACGGCCAACCACCACGTAGGTTCTGCAGTGAGAGGAAATAACTCTCCATGCCAGCAGGGGCGGTATTCTGTAATCATCATTCCAAAAAGAGGAAACGGAAGAGGAAGAATGCAGACAAATAAATCGTTGTTATGATATGAGAGACCATTTTCTCACCGCTGTCGCTCACCACTCGTTTTTATAAGTAGCCTACTAAAGCAGAATAATGTCTGATAAAAAGTTGGAAAAATGCGCTGGCGATGATGACAAATCTGAGACGAGCTGTCGGTGCGTGCCTTCTTTTTTTTTTTAAAGATTTACCTTTGGGAGAAATAGGACAGTGGATAGAGTCAGAAATCAGAGAGAGAGAGATAGAGAGAGAGGGGAATGACATGCAGGAAAGGAGCCACAGTTAGGATTCAAACCTGCATAAATTCAGGGTCAGCTCAACCCATATGCGTTTTGACCTCGAACCCCTAACCCCTAACCCCTAACCCATAACCCCTAACCCATAACACCTAACTGAGTAGACCTTTCCTATATTTGAAATGTGGGGTTTTAAATATATCCAACAGGTTTTTCCGGTTCTGAAATCCTCAGAGCTCTTTTGATATTTTCTCCCCTGAAACTTCACAAAGCAGCTCCTCTTTCTTCCTGGAAATCCGACATTTCAGAAACATTTCCCCTGCATGCCGTAATGAGCTGCAGACGATTTGTGATTCAGCACAAAGCCGCCATCAAACCCACACAAACGACGTGTTGAACAAAGAAAAGAGAGTGCAAACGAACATTTCCTGTTAGACTTCACCTGTCGAGTCAAATGAAGTCAAACAGAAGCCGGAGCTGCCTCAGCAGACGACCTCGCAGACAGGTTGGAGTCTGAGCAGCAGATGAGTCACAGCTTCAGATCCTGCTGGGTTCATGCAGCGTGGATGGCTCCATCAGTGGAGACTCATCCGAGGAATAAACAACGACAAAATGCATCTGAAATGATCCCTCGGGCTGTGAGGAGTGCTAAACTGACATTTCTAATCCCTGGATTTTTATGAGACACAGCATGTGATTCATTTCAGACCATCTGGTGGAAATGAACTGAATCTGTGCTGTGTGTCAGCAGTGATATTTGAGCCTTTTACTCTGATACGATACAGCCCGTCTCCGCATTCGAGTGAACAAAGGCTGCTGCAGATCTGTCACTCCAGAGCTCCTGCTTTATATTCAGCACTTGTGAGGTTTTTGGTGATTCTTGGGAACAGTCTGCGTCCTTTCTTTACGACGATTTCTAAAAAAGATTTTGACAAATGAAACAAACAGAATGGGAAAATGAAGCATGTCGACAAAAAAGGCAACTTGTGAGTAAAATCTCTGGATTCTTAAGATGATTAAACGTGCTTTGGGTCATTTTTTAAACGTGCTCTTTGTATTAAAGTGTAAATTGTATTCTCACTGCTCTCAGACGTGAGTGAGCCTCAGGTAATGATTTGATTGGCAGGTAGAGCCTGGCAGCAGGGCGGAGGGCGTGTCACTCAGGTGCTGATGTGTTAGCCTTCCTTAGTCATGCAGATGTGCTCTCAAATCACAAAATGAGTTGTTGAGCTGGAGCTGAAGCGGAGTTAATCCTCGCTACAAATGTTACACCACGCCCGCCTGTCAATCAGATCAGCTACACGCCTTATCATGAATAACTCTTATCCTTCATTAAATCGTATGCAGGCAGCCTCTAGTGGACACTCAACGAAACTGCAGAACTTTCCGCATCAGCATAATTTTTCAACTACCGAGGTTGCCTCTTGGGCGCAACACGTCGACAGGAAGATGGTCCAGTAGTATTTGTCTGAAAGGGAACATATCGCCACCTACTGTAGCGAAGTCAGTCCGTCAGTCCAGTAGTCCCATCACATGATCAAGTCGAGCTTCAACCAGAGCTCAGCTTCACCGTGCATCTAAACGTACTGATTGATGTTTGCCATCACCATTCAACAGGCTATCACAGCTAGCTACAATCAGCGCAGGAGTAGCTTTACAGCTGTTAGGTTCTGTTTACAACATGCATCCTGATCCAAACACCATAGAGCTCCTTATGTGCAGTCATTTATAGTCTCCAGTGTAGACCGTTTATTGGACCTCACTTCCACACACCAAGAAGAATCACATCAGGTTGCAGCTCATAAAGGTCATGAGTCACCTGCTGCTTACGTTAGCTTGGTTCTCTGCTTTTGTGTGCGGAAGGACGCCTCCAGTTTTCATCATTTACCAGGCTTAAAACTCCATGTGATCTGCAGAGTCCCTCTGCACCTTTAAGAAAAAGCTAAAGACCCAGCTCTTTCATGAATACCTACTAACTTAATGATGATGTCTCCATATATTGATGATGATGATGATGGTAATGACGATGGTTTTTTTGTTGATAACGACGACTTATAAGATGGTTTCTATACTGATTAGAGCTCTCAAGAACTGCCCTCAATGTTGTGCTTTGCCTCTGGTCACTTCCTGTCAGCACCTGTGTGTCCATCAGACTCAAAGCTGATCGTTTGCTCTTACTCACATTGTTCCCTTTTTTCTAGATCCTTGCTTGTGTTGTTCTTACTCTCTGATGTACGTCGCTTTGGATTAAAGCGTCTGCTAAGAGATTTGTAGAATTGTGTAGAATTGTAAAACCTGTATTTGAAACTGAGACAATCACTTAGTAAGCAGTGTTGGACCTCAGTTCTGTAAAGACAGAACATCCAGACGTTTTGCAGCTCATGTTCGCTAGGCTTGTTTCTATATTAAAACCTTTGCTGCAAGTCTGGAGAACCGCCACTCACGTTAGCTTAGCTTGTATCCAGCAGTACACATCATTTTACAGTTGAAAGATTTGTGGGAGACGATTTATCCACGATGATTTTCTACCAAGTGGCAACCTCCGGTCTTGAAAAAGTGTGAAATCCTGCAGTTCATCGAGTGTCCACTAGAGGCTGGCTGCAGGAACCGGAAGTCACATACACACACCAGGCGAGAAAACTGTTTTTACAGCAGAGATTAACATGTTTACAGCCTGGTTCAAAAAAAACAAATAGGTCTGATTAGTTATTGTCATCACGGGCACATTCTGTACGGGAGTGATTTTTTAAAAAACGGCTTTCGTTTTAATTTTATAAACGATACGTGTTATCCATTGTTAAGCGTGTAGCTGACCTGATTGACAGGTGGGCGCAGGTAACGCGTTAGTTTAGAGGTTTAAACCAGCCTCAGCTCTGGCTCTCTCTGAAAGTTATGGTGAGACAGAATTTCCAACATGGCAGCGGCTGAAGATGAGACTCGGTGTGTACCGCCAGGTGAGCTGAGACACTGCAAAATTGTTAGCATTTAGCCGTAACCCATGCAGAACTGGAATACATCTCGACCTCTGACCTGGCGCTTTGCATTGTGGGAAACAGTACTTGAGGGAGACTGGTCTGATGGAGACTGTAGATATTCTCCAAATCTCTACGACAGCCGGGTATTTTTCTGGCTAACTGCAGATCTGTACACATACTGCATACAGCATTTTGGACCAATCAGGACGTACTGCTTTTTTTAAATCAAGACAATCAGAACTGACTCGTACATGTAATTTTCATCCATTAAACACAATCAGTACCAGAAGGGAAAATGGATTTCAGATAACTTTAACATCAAATGCTGCCATTATGAACACAGATGCTGCAGATATCCCACTAACAGGACACCACACAGAAGACACAATATCTGAGCTTCATTGCTTCATTTTTAACTCAACACCAGATCCAGACTCTATAGGAGCACGGTACAACCCTATAGAGAGGTTGAATATATCATAGACACTACATGACATTATGAGGCCGACAGAGGTCGGCCCCCGCAGAGAGAGGACACGCTGCACCTGCTCCATTATCATAGGACATGATACAAACACGGTGTTTTATAATATGAGGCACAGAGGGGTCCACACAGAAATAGATGGAGGAGGGGCTGAAATTGGCCACCGATAATTACGCAAATAGATTAAGATCAATGTAACGAGGCAGACTGTAGGAACACTGGTGGTGCCTTCAGTGTGAAATAAAATTAGAACAGGTAGGTTAAAGCCTGTAGAAATAATCAGAAGCTGCATTTAAAAGGATTACAGGGACATTTTGGCTCCGTTGGCAGCACCGCTCAGGTGTGATCGACGCTTCGCATGTGTGTGTTTGCGTGTGTGTGTGTTCATTGAAATCGGTGCTGTTGTGTCAGCCGTTTTTCTGTCCGTCTGTCTCTTACCTCTGCTGGGTCTGATGCTCTCTCGCTCTCTCTCTATCTCTCTCTCTGTCTCTTCACCTGATGGAGACAGCTCGCTCTGTGTCCCGGCTCCACACACAATAAAAACAAAAAACAGTTTATAACATAAAAATAAAGCTAATGAAAGACACATCCTTCTTTTGAATCCTCAAAGGCGACAGTAACGCGTCCGATCTGATCCACTGAAGGTCTGTGCAGGTGAATCAGGAGCCCTGGTGCGTCGTTGCGGCGATCAGAGCGGAAAATTTCCTCCAGAAAATGAGCTCAAACTGGCTGGAAAACGTCTCTTTTCCGGCGCCGCACGCAGCTCCTTTACGCACGGCTTTACGCTGACATCCTGCGTTAATTCAAGGTAGAGCGACGCGCTATGGGAATATTTGCAAGTGCTGCCTGTCGCCTCCTCCTCCTAAAAATAGCCACAGCCGCTCCTCTGTGAATGAACAGTTTTGTGTGTGTGTGTGTGTGTGTGTGTGTGTGTGTGTGTGTGTGGTTTATATATATTATTTAGTTTCTCCTCGGCTGTTTGCAGGCAGTCTCCTCCCCCAATCAGGCGGCAGATTTCTGCGGACGCGCAGCGGCAGGAGCGGCTCTCGTTTCGCCTGCGATGACTCATAACAGAGGAGGTGAGGCGTGTAATTGTTTCATCGTCAATAAGAGCCATCAGCCCGAAAAAGACGAGGAGGAATCTGCCTCTGTGAGCTGCAGCAAACATATAGCCTAAAACACACACACAGCGTTGATGTGGATTTCCTTGTTGTTGATATGTTGATGATGAAGAAATCTCCGTTGACACTGACTTGCTTACATAATGATCATTTTATTGACAAACAAGTTACAGCATCGCCAGGCTCGCCATGGTTCGACCTGGAGAGACACAGCCAAAAGTGATCTCTCCCCTTACACACAGAAACTCTGGTATTTATGGACACACCTCACAGGAGAACAACATAGGCACATCTGTTTGTTTCAGGACACCCCTCTTCATACAAACTGCAGGGGTTTCTGTCTTAGTCATATGTATGTCATATGTATGTCATAAACTCAAAGGACAACACAGGTCACAGATACAATCTCTTGTCCAGAAGTCCCTGGGCAACTCTCTGGATACAGGGACCCCATTGTACACATTCCACTGAGAGGGCTCCTAAATCTCCTTCAGATACTCCTCCTGATGGCCCATTGTAAACTTATATTACCTCTGTCCTGGTTACATCAGACACTTCATAGTCCCCCCTAGCGAGACTATAGTCTCGCAAACGAGAAATTATACAATATGATGTTAATTAGCCTCATACGAATCACTTCTGTCCATGCTTAACCTTAGTAATATAGTAAAATTTTATTTGTGGAGTGTGAGAGCGAAAAACCCATCAAGCAGCTATCTTTCTTTATTATCCATCAAACAATCTAGACAGGAAAACTCTCTCACGGTCCCGCTGCCCCAGGCAAACCACCTATGGTACTCCAAACCCAATTAGAAAGAAAAGGTTATGAAAACTTTTTAGGATGATATATAAATTGCACACATTCAAAACCTCAGAAATAAAATCTAAAAATGTCCAAAGTCAGGCTGGTCGACCCATCGCACCTTCCAATGGACCCTCCCTACCTAACACCACTTTCCCTAAGGATCGATAAAGAAAGAAAACACTGAGGTCCCAATATATGCAGCCTATACAGTTCCAAAAAATATGTCTTGCTAAAATGTCTACTATAAAGTAAAACATACAAAATATTTATCAATATTACAAGTTACATTGTAAAAACCCTCAATGATTTTTCAATCGAAACCCCTCATCATGATGTCTTCATTCAGGTTTCCGTTGTCCATTTCCATCCTCCATTTTCTTAAGTTTGGTTGTTTCAACTCCATTAATCTGGAAGGATCTCTGGACAATCAGCCACCCTCACATTGGTCTCCCAATATTCATCCTGGAAGAAAAATCAACAGCCAGTATCTTTGTACATACAAAACCATCAAAGATATTCATTTTTGTATCATACTTTCACCTTATTCCACTACATGATTAACATATACATGATTAAAATATTCAATTCCCCCTTTTATCAATTCACTTCCAGTTCAAAATAATAGTGAGTCAATGTTGAATTCAGATATTCAAAAATGGATATTTCTCTCCAATCTCTATGACCTCCTCACCTTCACTTAGGTCATTACCACTCAGTAGCCACAAGAATCTGAAACACTATAGATCCTATTGGTCCTAATTTTATTGCATCCAAACATTCACAGACCATCCTGCTCTTCTGATGGACCAAATGAATCCCTAATTAGTTTCAAAGCATCTATGACACTAGTCATATTGTCAGTGGTATCAGGAATCAAAGTATAACAGGCTTCTCCAGTTAGATTCAAAGCTAACACAGAGGCCACCTTGTTTGGCCAAAAGTAATCAAAAGCCATGTCATGTTTCAGCAACGTCAATCGATGACTCCTCTGAGTATTCGACAAAATTCAAAACCTTTTATGGTCTCGTTTGCAAAACTTTGCAGGGTATATGTAATATTATCAATATGATCAGCTAAGTATGTAAACACCATACCATGGAAACAATCCTATTCCCCATTTCTCCCCAAACTTATC